ACCCTTCCATTAAAAAGTGCTATTCTATTCAGTTCAGTTAAATACTACTAAACTGCATTTTAGTTCGAATATGGAACAATTAATATACATATATGACTTAAGCCGGAACGTATTCCCATGCTTTGCTCCGAATCGACATGCTCTTGTACCACCAATTCAAGGGTACTAAAAACAGAAAGCGTTTTTATACGGCATATGGTGACAACAAAAACGCTTGTTTGCGCCTGGCGCCGCCTAAACAATTTAATTGAGAGTTGAAATTACTCGTAAATATGTACGGCTACCCACTTTCACATGTGGAGTAAGTGGAGGAGGTTCTGCGGCTGGCCCTGACTGGTGTTCAATGAGTATTTCAGGCCTGTAATTTGCTGGCCTGCGTGTGAAGCTCTGTCAAATCGATTAAAAAGTAATTTCCACACAATGCACTCAAAAAACTACGAAAACTATAATTTAATAGTCGAATTTTCCAACTACAGAAGTCGTTGATGGATGGGTTCAATCCAGAATGCATTAGGAGGAAGTGGTGGTTGTCACATGTGGATCTGCATTAATAATGGGCTCCGAGCGATAATTAAAATTTGATCCGTAAGCCACTAACGTTTAGTAAAAGCGTATTACGTATACATTCTCTGGCTTATACGGCCCTTAGTAGCAATGCCAAGAATCCGCGACAACTGTACGCAAAAGTTATCCAACTTATGTAGCAGTATTCGTTTACAATACTCAGCAGAACTTATTCCATCGATAACTATGTGGAAAGAGTGCTGCGCTCTTCCGCTTGGAAATTATGAACAAGTTTGTTTCCTCGCCTTTTTGGCAACAGGAAGTTCGGACAAAGGACGACAGGACGAGGGCAGCACGGGAAGCATGGAGCTGTCAGGAACACGCGTCAGACGCCCATCCTCATTCGCCGATCGGAATTGATTTCGTCGCATTCCTTTCAAAAATTATTGATAAGACATTTCCACAGGCATTGTGTTCGCCCATTACAGCTACAGTTACAGTCGCTCCTGCCAGTGAGTGTTCCATGTAATACAAATATTGACATACTTTGATTTCGCAATGCCCAGGGTAGCAACAAGCGAAGGGCAGCAACTTCTCAACTTCTCCGGTTCTCTGGGGATGCAGGATTGGTTATGCAGAGAGAAAAATTATTGCTGAGTCGTTGAAGTACTATAATTATTGGAAATATTAATTACGGCTGAAATAAGCATTAGAGTATAAAAAGGTGTGACTCTTTGAGGCGTGAATAAAAATATTCGAGGACTGAAGATGGAATCTCTTTCTTCTGAGTGCATCCGCCATTCCTGTCTCCATTGGAAAAATTGAAAAGCTGAAAGCAAATGTCAGAGCTCTGAAAAGTTGGAATTTCCCCGTGTTTTCCGGGCACACTGAGGGGCTGTGCGGTGGACTTGTCCGGGATTTCCGTCTCGAGAGTCGGAAAATCAGCTTAGGCAAGTCCCTCGTCGACTTTGAATGGGAATCACTGGGCGACCTAAGCACTTTTTAAGCTCGAGATGATGACACTTGTACCTGAGTGCGTTTTTGCCTCGGGGAGTCTAAAGAAACTAAGGACGGAAAGTCGCAGGAAAGTCAAGTGGAGCCCCTCGTCAGCCGAATAACACAGTTTTAAATTTATTTATATGTATTTGTATATATATTCAATATAATCAATTTAAAACACATACAATTTTGATAAATGCTCACTTACAATGAAATGAAAAATGTTTGGTTCTCCACCGTTTTTGATTCTTTGCTCTTTCACATTTCATATTTCACATATAATATAAATTATTTTGTTCAAGTTCTCCTCCATATCTTCTTTAATTTTACTCACACATAGTTTTACATAATAACAAAGTAAAATTGTTTAGGTTTAAGTAATATATATATATATCGATATATAGGTGTATATATCTCATACATTTGCCAATTGCTAAATAAATGTTATTTTCTTGGGTTTCTTTTCATATTAAATTTAAATTTAAATTTAATTTTGTTTGATTTTTTGCTCGTGGCTTTTGATTTGCGCTCTCACGTCTTTGTGTTGCATTTATCTCCATTTTCTTCTCTTGTTCCAACTTCAACTTCAACATCAATTAATTAATAATTTTTCAATGCATTTTGTTGCTTTGACTTAAGCCTACAACTAAAATATTTATAAAGAAAGTCATTTTTAATTTTTGTTCTTTTTTTCTTGCTTAGCGCTATTAAAATTGTATTTTTGATTTTCTTGTGGTTTTTGCACCTGCCTGACCCTACCGAAGGTCATACAAAATTTTGATTTATGCTCAAGGTACGTTGCAAGTTGTTTTTTGGTTTGTGTTGTAAAATTTATTTAGCTTTAGATTAAGAAAACATATCCTTGTCAATTTTATGTAGGTTGTGCGCTCTGCCTAGTGGGGGTTGCAGTCATGCCGAAATGTAAGGAAATAAAAATAATGGTGAACCATTGCCAAAATCCCGAGCCCAACGGAAACAAAGAATTTGCATGGGGTGGCTGCCAAATCACCCTTGGCACTTGCCATTTTTTCTTTTCATTTTATTTTTATATAAATTGCAATTTTTCCAGTTCACTTTTAAACATGCAAATAGCGGCGGACACCCTTAAATCGATGCAAATGCACCGTGCAAATGCGCTGCCTTTGGTCATTTGCACAATTGTTTGCGCCCTTAAAAATCCGGGCCGAAGATTTTCCCAAATTGCCATAAAAATTCAATGGAAAACATTTCGGGGAAAATCGCAGAAAAATGTTTATGAAATTTGCCTACCATCCCCTGGACAACCTGAGGGTTGTTGCCCGAGTCAATCCATAATTGCACTGCCGGAAAAGTCGGCCGTCGGCAGTCGGCAGTCGGAAAAGTATCAAATATCTGGCCGTAATCAATGAGATGAAATTTGCATGGACACGTGACAAATAATTAACTGCCAAAACTGGCGAGATTCTGGCGTCGCAGAGGGTGGCTGCATTAAATCAATAACCATGGCAATATCGATTTGGATTCCGGCTTAGGAACTTTTTTTGAAAACTCAAACAACTGCAGCTGCTGACCCGACCCTCCAACTTGACCCTCACATGACCATGCTGGGTTTTTGTTATCGTACTTTTCGGCACTCGCTTTTTCCAACGCAATATAGCCATTCATACAGATGTATTTTTTAATGCAAACATTCTAATCAGGGGGTTGGTCAAGGCCTGACCCAAAGCCGGAAACAGTTTCACTTATTATGTTTACTATTTTTATTTTTTATGAGGGTGCTGTTTTCGGTTGCGTTTAAAGGCAAGAGGAAGGAAGGCAGCTGCTTGTGAGTTTTTTAAAATGATTAACAAGTCGCAGATAGGCTCTCAGCCATTGTTGACAAATTGAATCAAATGGCAATTTAATAATTGAAGTCGCCAAGGCGTTGGACCAGCATATGACACCCCGAGAAATGAAGGTCCCCTATGGGAACGCTTCAAAAAATAAAACGAAACAAAGGAAAGGGTCTTCCCAGGCGATAAGTTGAAGATACAGATTTTTTAAGACCTTGGACTCGAGGCTGGCACACTTCAATCGGGGTTAAAAAAGTACATGCGATGGCTTATAAATTGGGATATCAGAAATCAACATCGAAATAATAAGAGAAACTCAAGTTTAACAAATATAAATTGCATGACATTTATTCGATACATATATACACAGTTAAAGTAAGATATAAGAACTAAGAAATAAGTGAAATGTAAAATAAAATGTTTGTTTACGATCTATATATTTGTAGCTCTATGTAGGATTTCATTTCGATTTTGGAGTTCAAATTTTGGTGCTGTGGACTCGGCGAAGTATTTGCTAAAAGGCACGCAGCATTTTAAAAAACACACGTTTTTAAAAGAGGAAATTTTGAATATAGCAAATAGTTCTTCGCCGACCCAAATTCTTCTCGGAGCAATCAACTCGTTTTGGGCAACTCTTCTCGCCAAAGAACAAATTCTTAAACACTAAAAAATAATCTGCGAAAGTCGTCACCCAAAACTGAGGAGTTGATGGATCTGTTTTGGCTTCCTGTTTTATATTTAAAACTATTTTTATCTTAAACGTTTGACTAGAATGGTTTGGTTTTCGTTTATGCGACTAGTTCTTGTCTTTGGAATGTTTTAACTTAGAATGGATAAATAAATCATAGCATATATGTTAGAATTGTGAATAAAGTAAAGTGTAATTCTGTTTGAGGTAAAGTTACTACAAGAAATTAGATTTAGCTTTCAAGGGTTTCAATGGTATCGTAGATTTGCTTTATAAATTCATTTTATTTAAATTATTGTTTTCAAGTCCGTCTGAGGTAGCATTCTTGTTATCTTTTTAACGTTTCATAATATATTTAATTTATTATTATGGTAATATTTTACTTGCGTATGTTTTTGGTTTTCGTTTTGCTTTCTCTAAATATGTTTGTATAAAAAAGTACTAATGGTCATTGTACTTTTGCCCTGAGTTGTTTAAACGTTCTTAAATTTTACCTTCTGGCGTTAGTTTTCCCTTCATCTATTTGACTACCCAAAATCTGAACTTTCATGGTGTTATCTTTAACAACTTTATATGTACACATTGTGCGCTGGAATTATGCTTTAGTGAAGACATTTCCTTGGATATAACTTGGTTCAGATACGGTTAATGTAAGAGTGTGTTATAGAGGATATTTAAAGGAAGTGAAGATCTCCAGGGCCATTGTTTAAAAACATCCTAAAAGTGTAGTCTTCGCTATAAAGGTTTTTTTGATTTTGAGCAATTTGTTTGTGCTGAAGCTGTATTATAGCATTTTTATTATGCCATCATTTTTAATATGCCATATATATGTTACGATCCCCGCGACCGATTAGTCCTAATCTAAGCACGACAAACCCACCTCGTATCTAGTTGAGAAATGTATAATTGTAATTTTGATTTTATGCCGCTACTATATATATGCCTTCTAAGTGGTATATATGGTACTTTCTCCAACGGGTCCGTCCCTCCACTTTTTGCCTTCCCCTCGCCTAATCTATGTACGTATTTAGATTCCTCTGACCATCTCGTCTCCTCTTCTGCAACTCGTTTGCGATAGATTACTATTACGCATAGGAACTTTGATAGTTAATCACTAGAGATATATGTTATAGGTTGCGGTATGTTATGGTTTATGCTTTGTCATGCGTCTATCAAAATATATCTATATATGTGTATATATCTTATTTTGATGATTAGCACAGTGCTGCCAGCTGAAACGGACTTGTTCTTCTTGGGTTATATAGACTGCAGATTTGATCAGTGCCATGTTGGACATGGTCAACTTTTGGGCTCGATATTGATCGATTAAATATTGATAGATTGTTGTGTTATGGATTTTGTATATTTAAGATTAATAATGAGCTCAACTAATATGCGCACTCAGTCTTTTGTAGTTCCACTATTTTGTCTTTTTCAAGTTCCTAACTTCGTTTGCTTAACTATGTAGTTGGGGGTCTGGTAGTTCCTGGGATCGGAACACTCAAGAATTTGCGTTAATCCTAAAAACGTTTAAGGTATGGAATTTAAGACAGAAATGGATTGAAAAGAACGCACGTTTTTTAGAGTGCTCCAATCCCGAGACTTTGTGGGGCTTTGGTTTGGTTTCTATGGGTTGAACTTACGCTGGCAACACTATACCTGTTGCATGTGGCACCTTTAGGCAGGTGTTAGCCGGAAGCTGAGCGTGGCCGACTCCGAAGCGCGAACGCGGACGGGCAGGTACACCAGGGCAGGTGCGAACTGCATCTCGGAGTCCGGGTCGGCGGGCTGCAGGTGGAAGGCCTGCATCTGATATGCTTCCTCTGCCCCATCCGGCTGGGCGTAGCTGGCCGGCTTGCCAACGCCGTTGGCCAATTCCCCGCAGCCCTCGAAGGGCGAGGTGGCCGCCGAGCGATGGCCGCCAGTTGTACTGCCCAATGCATTTGGCGTCGTTGGTGGCTTGGAGGTGGATCGACGGCGCTGAGTCTTGGGCGAAGTCGAGCTGGCTGCCTTAGGAGAGGAGGCGGGAGGAGATCCTGCCCCAGTTGAGGGGGAACGAGATGCGACCTTGGGTGCTGAGGTGCTGAGATTGGTGGGCTCCAGAGGAGGCTCTGTTTCCTCGGGCTTACTGGGAGGAGGTGCCACCACGGATTTGTTGGACTTGCTGCGTGATTTACCCGAACTTCTAGAGGGCTGTGGTGCCGGCGTCTCCATGGGCAACTCCATGCCCTCACCTCCGTTGTTGAGCAGAGCATGCGATCGCTCATGGATGAACAAGAAGGCGTAGTAGGGCGTGGTGAAGGGACACAGTGAGCACTGGTACTCCTTGAACCTGGCCGCCTGTTCGCCAAACATTCCGGGCAATGGAAGTGGAGGCATCTTGGGCATCTGCTGCTGTTGCATTTGGCCAAAGAGATGCTGGGCATTGAGATTTTGCAGAGCCTGGGCGAGATTGGGAGCGGTATTTCCGGCTCCGGCACCCGCTGCTCCTGGGTTACTGCCACTTCCGTTGGGAATCTTGAGCGTGGGACTGTTTGGCTTGCTGCGCGTCGAGGATTGGGTAGTTTCCATTTCCCGGAGGCGTTCCACTCCGGCGGTTCCGTGTTCGTTCATCAGATGCGATCGCAGCCACTTGAAGCTGCGGAATTGGCGAGAGCATAGTGGGCACACCTCGTGGGCAGAGTTGGATGAACCGCCGCCACTGCCCTCCACTGTGGGTGGTGACACATTGAGGTCCTGATCCTGCTGCGCTTGCGATGGCTGTGAAGCTGCTGCTGCTGCGGCGGCTGCGTCCAGTTTGACTCCATTCTGACCCCTCGGTTGTGGCAGTGGAGATCCCTCCTCGATAATGCCATGGGTGTTGTGCTTGTGCACCCGCAGAAAGTACTTGCTGCACAGCTCCTTGTTGCATATGTTGCAGACCACGCCGCCGATCTGGGCGCCATTCTCGATCTCGATGCCGTGCATCCGCTGCATGTGCGTCTTCATGAAGTACTTGTTGCACAGCTCCTTGTTGCAAATCTCACAGTAGCTGCTTGTGGGTGTTAGGGTGTAAGGTGGACGATTTCCAGCGGGAGCGGCTGGGGTTCCGGGTCCGCCCGCTGACGGCGCCACTGGGCGTTCGGGTGTGAAGAAACCCTCGCGCAGGGGACTGCCGCTCAGCCCTCCGTTTCTGCCCAAGTGCACCTCGGCGATATGTTGCTTGAATTCCTGGGGTGTGGCAAAGTCGCGATCACACTGCTGGCAGCGGAGATCACAGCCTGGCGGGGATCTGGCTCCTGGGGCCGGCGGAGTTTGCGGATTTCCCTGGGCATGGTACAGACTGGCCATGGGATGTGGGGCCTGCTGATCGGGCAGTGGAATCGGTATGGGCATGGGCAGTTGCATCTGGCCAGCATGCTCGGTCATCAAGTGAGCCCTTAGAGTATACTGATTCTCCTGCTCCTGGCCACAAAGATGACAGGGCAGCGGGCGTTTGCCATTGATGTCGTTCAGTTGCTGCAACATGGACTGCAGCTTCTGAAGATTCTGCAAGCCGACCACCGAGCCATTCAGCTTATCCTCGTCGTATCCCTCCGGCGGTGTCTGTCCCTGCTCCAACTTGATCCTCTTACTGGGCTGCTCTGACTCCGTTTCCGCTTCCGGTTCGCGCTCCTGCTCCTGCTGGTCCATTGTGGCTGCTGCTGCCTTGGCCAGCATCAGATTGAGTGGCATAAAGGGCCAAGCACTAGCCATGTGGGCTTCATCCTTGCCACCTGGCTGTGGTGCCACATCTTCGGGTGGCACAAACAGACCGTGGCGCTTCCACTTATGAGTGCGCAGGAAGTACCGATTGGCGTACTCCCGGTAGCACAGCTCGCAGAAGAAGTCGGGAAACTGGACGCCCAGGCGACGTAGCTTGTCCGGATTGAAGTTCGAGTCCTTCGCCTGTTGCTGCAGATGGGAGGGCAACTTTCGAGGCGGTGGCACAAAGCTCAGCTCCTCCTGCTCCAGGGTGAAGTCCTCACGGAAACCCTCGGGCAATTGATAGGGCTTGATCTCCGCTTCCTGTGACAATTCCTGCTTTATAGCTGGCTGTGGTGGCTCGTTGGGGCTTCCCCGAAGCGATTGCGGTTGAATGGGTGCCTGGGAGTTGGGTGAAACTTGGGCAACTGGTTGTGCCTCATGCTGCTTGGCCCGGTGGCGACGCATGGCGAATATGTTGGTGAAACGCTTGGAACAGATGTCGCAGTGCACAGAGGCCACCGGATTGGATGCTCCGCCAGCTGGTGTGGTGGGATCCTGCTTCGCCGCTTGAGCCTCCCGCTGCAGCTGGAACATTTGACTCATGGAACTCATACTGGGATTGGGGTGACCACCGTTGTTGTTGTTGCTACTGCTGATGCTGTTGTTGTTGTTATTGTGGTGACTGGAGGTGTTGCTGGTGCTCGACTCGCCAACGGGATCGAAGATGCCGTGCTTGTTGGCCTTGTGGGTCTTGAGGAAGTACTTGTTGCAGAACTCCTTGTTGCACAGCTCGCAGTAGGCCTCGGGATTGAAGATCCTCAGCGGAGGGCGGTTCAGGCCATCCACTCCCGGAAAGCCGGACATGCCGAGCAGTGGCAGGTAGCCAGCTGGTCCCAAGGCTGCCTCTGGGGGAAAGGGAAAAGCAGGCGGCATTTGTGGCCCGTGTGGGTGATGCTGCGCCTGCATGGCCTGGAACCAGTGTTCCTGCTCCCGTTCCAAGTCCTTGCCATGACCATTGGTAAGGTCGTGCTGCAGATTCTGCTCCTGTTGCGGACTGGGAATGTCGGCGCGCTCCAGCTTCACCTTGATGGAGGCCAGGAAGTCAGCGGGATCCTGATCGCCGGACCTTTCCTCGCCGTGATCCTGCAACATGTGCAGGCTCAACTTGAACTCGGTCTCGAAGCTCTCGCCGCACTGCTTGCAGTAAGTGTGGTATGGGTTTTCGCGCTGCTTGCTGGATTCTGATATGTCTGCCATGGCTTCCGCTTCCGCTTCCGTTTCTTCTCCCGTTTCCGGTTGCTCCTCCTCTTGTTTCTGGTGCTGCAGCATTTCGAAGGTCTCCTTTAGCTGCTCAATCGACTTGGGAAGGAACATCTTGGACAACTTCTCCTCGAAGTCCACGGTGGAGGAGTCTGCTTTCTTTTGACCCACTTCACCAGTGGGCTCTCCACTCAAATTGAGGGCCTCCAAGCGGCTGGGATTGTGCTGCTTGCGACGCTTCTTGGCCGCATCACTTAGGGCCTCCAGGATTTGCAGCTGCATGGCTGCCGCCATGGTGGCCATGTTGGCATCGCCAGCCTCCTCCTCCGCATCCGCATCCTTGCGCCCATCCTCTGCCTCCTCCAATTGGTCCGCCTCATTTGCTCCGCTTCCCGCTGGCTTCGGCTTCGGCTCCAGTTGCAGCTCCATTGCCGGCACCAAATGGGCGGCGGGTGAAGTGCTTCCCACTTCTCCTGCTCCAGTTGCTCCTCTGGTTGTGGCTGACGTGGCTGTGGGTGTTGCTCCTGCGGCTTCATGTGGATTGTTGCTGCTGTCGCCGCTGGTGTGGTTGTTCCTGTTCGTGTTGAGTGTCGATGAGTTGGAGACGTCGGAGAGAGCAGTGTCCTCGCTGCTCAGATCTGGCGGTGGGGTGGCATATATGGATGCAGCCATTTTGGATGATATTACTGCGGGGCAGGGGAAGAAAGATGGAGAGGGGGAAACATTGTAGTGGAGAACTTTTTAATTGAAGTCGAAGCCATGCTAGCGGGCGGTCTTTTCGATAAGGAATGGGATAAGGGTTATTTATGTGCATGTATGTATGTATAGTCACCATATGCGATGGATTAAACGAAACCTTAAATAACTTAAAAGAACTGCTTCAAGCAATTAAGCAGCAAGGAATAGTTTATAAACAATGGAAGACTCCTAAGCCCAGTTACATGGTTATGTAAATGGTAAGGAACGTGATTTATTTTTCATAGGCAATCAAGACTGTAATACATTCGCAATAAATCCCTCGTGTTCCTTTCAAATAGTTCGACTAAATGTAATAATCTTTTTAACAACAGGAAATAGTAACCAATTTCTTTTCGCTACTAAAGCCACTTATTCACAAGTCTCTTTATTCTTTTCCAGTGTACATAACGAATGAACTGAGGCTTAGATCGCATTATTTTTGCAAAGAGAAAAACATAAAAAGAACGCAGAATATTTGGCCAAGGATTCCATTCAATTTTAGTGTGGCTTCAACTGAATGCCACTCAAATATTTCTCCTGCACACACACACATTCGCATAAGCCCGCACACACACGCAGCATATTTGTGTCTCATTTCCGTATGCGCTTAATTTCATTTTTCTGCTTCTGTCCGCCTCCTGCTGCCTCTTCTCCATAATCATTATTCCCACCCACCATGCCCCACCATGCTCCACCACCCACCTCCCCTACTATTTTGCTGTGGCTACACTTTTTCATTTTTGTGCAAATTCTATGAAAAATTTTTCCATTATATATATATACATATGTACGAGTATAGCTACACATAGGGGGGAAGGAAAGTTTTCCTTTTTGTTTGTTTACTATGCGCCCCAGCTGCCACCCACTAACACACATACACACAACCCCATTGTGGCGCACACGAAAATTTATACAAAGTCATCCGATTTAAGGAATACAAATTTTGCTTATTTTCTTGTGTGCCAGTGTGTGTGTGTGGGCGAGTAGCTGTGTGTGCTTGTGTGCCGCACACAGAAAACTTTTTGCGCCTCCCAACCACACACACACACACACAGACACAAACACACAGCGATTTGCCACCCACTTTTCGCCCCACGGCCAACACCATCACTTGAGTCAAGCATAAAACTTATAAAAATTTTCTTCAACATGACTTGGTAAAATAAATTTGATTCTCAAGAAAAGCAAAAAGGAAAATAGGAAGGAAGATGGGAAAGCGAGGGGGAAAATGCCTGGTAACAGGGAGGCAAAAATAGGCGGAGATACACACAGAGACAAATGTTTGAGGCACTGAATGAAATTAGCAATAATTAATGTGTATTTTCCAATACACAAAAATAATATATAAATTTGAACAAATTAGTTGCTCTAATAAATAAACCATCCTTGTGATTTGATACTTAAATAAAAAATACTTTTTAAGTCTTCTAAGAAGGAAACTATAAATTAAGATAGATATTATTCAATAATAATATTGTCTAAATTGTGTGAGTATGCAACAATTTACGTTTTGCAATGGCTAGAATTTCTTTCGGTGCATGAAAAAATTCGAAATAAACCGAAAATTCTTTTTCCTATTTGCGCTCAGGCAAAAGGAGAAACCCCAAGGAGGCGCAGTCAAAGGGTAGGGGGAAATAAGTTTGATGGGTTGGGGGTGGCAGGAAAAGCAGGCGGAGAGCAGGAAAAAGAAAGAAAAATATTCTCAACTATGCTGCAGACATAAATTAAGTTTCCATGGTTGGAAATTGGTTCTCCAGCTACATGTTGTCGTTGTAGTTGCTGTTGTTGTTGACTTTGCTTTTATACAATTTCTTCAGGCCGAAACCCCCGTCCTCCCACCAATCCCTTTTAACCCCCCGTGACCCCGGACCTGCCACTTTGAGGAGTTAAGCAAAAATGCCTGCCAGGATGTGCGCATTTCTCTTCAGTATCTTTGTGGGCTGTGTGTGTGGGTGGGCGAGTGCTGCTTGTGTTTCGACTGGGATTTTTATAAAGCCTAAGGTAGTTTGATGTTATTTTATTTGATTTTTTTCGCCTGCCTGCCCGCCTTATGTCCATCTCTTCGTGCCAGGAGGAGGATGCCCAAGAAAAATGTTCGAAATGAAAATGCCAACAGAGTGTAAACAAAACCATATACTCCTCGACTAGGTATTTATATGTACGAGTATATGGCGAATGTGGGTACACACCCACTGTATATTTTGAGACTTCGCAAGAGAAGCGGCTAATTTGGCAAACCAACATATCAACCAAGCTGCGGGGGATGCGGAGCCTGGAGGACTCCGAACATAATCTTGACACTGGCCAGGGGAAAACCAATAACGTCGGATTGGTTTTGGTTCTGGCAAAGATGTTTGATGGAGCTTCAGAAGTAGCTCTAAGTGCAGTACCAAGAGTTGGCTAGTTGAATCGTTGCAGAACTTTCAACATAAATGACTTGAATATTTAAAAACTTGAGTTGGAGAATTTGTGAATATATTTCCTGAGCCTTTAGGTTATTCTCCAATAAGATTTTGAATGGCCAAATCAATTATATTTTAACTAATCAGCAATTTACTTTAATGGGATCACTTAACACAATGTTTTAAATAACACAGCACAATAATATAACTTATCCACCTACTCATTAAGTATGTTTTTAGTGTGTCGCGATCCGAAAGACTGTATCGTTGGATTTTCCTATTGTCACTGGGATAAGAGTTCACCGAGCATTTTAAAAACTATTTCTTCGATCGGTGATCTCGAGATGATATCGTTATGTTCGCGTTGTGCAAGTCGCTTTGGCGCATGCGCACTTTGTATTTCAGAATTCTTTGGCGTGTGTCGGGATCGTGTCCTGCCAAGTAGGTTGCTCGTTGTCAACTGCCGCATGACGCAGCGGAATAACAAAAAATATCGGCTATCAATTGCCAGTTGCCGGTTGAAAATCAAAACAGCAAATAGCAATGATACTAAAATCCCGGCGACACACACAAGCCTAACCCTCCATATCGCTTAATACGCGAGCACACACACACACACATACACACATGTACACATAGTGGACCCCTACCCATACCACGGAAAAAACCTCAATAAAACACCCCAAAATATCAAAAATCATAGAATTTCCCTTAAAAAAAATCCATAGAGCGACAACTGAGCAGCGCTGCCCGGAAAACCATTATTGCTCCGCCCCTTTTCGTTTGCTTTTTCCTCCTCTCTTTTTTTTTTTTTTTGAAATTTTCAGTAACCACCACAACTACAACTACGACTACTACTACAAAAGAAAGGGACGGCGGCACACGAATGAGCAACAACCGCGCAACTTGGAAGGTTTTCCCCCGATATTATTGTTGTCGTGCCAATTTATCATTGTTCGATAGGATTTTCAATTTGCTTTTCCTACTGCAGAAGTTCGTGTGCCACCATCGTTGTTATTGGTGTTCCGGCAGTTATATTTTTGTTATTTTAATTTATGCGCTCCCAATGAAAAGAGTCACATTTTCTTTGGGTTTCCCCTAAGTTCCTGCCACAAAGGCTGAAACTTCTTGACTTGAGTAGTCAGGAATCGAATAAATATTTTCCGAAAGGGTTTTGGGGGTTGTTCAATGTTCTCTAATGTTGAAATTGGCTAATTGAAAGGCTTCTGCAGACCAAAAAGGGATCATAATCCCCACCCAGGTAAGTAGTTTCTTTTTTAATCCTTTTTAGGGAACACTGAGAAAGGACTTTGGTAATAGTCTTTTAATTACATGATTACCTAAACGTATTGTCGGGAACTCTTTGGAAAGGCTCTTTAGAAGTGGTACACGTTGTATGATCCAATGACAAAAGATGTTGGGCTTCTATTTAGGAAAGCAATAAAAATCAACTAAGCCTTTCGAAGTCAAAAAGCTTTGAATTGATTATCGGTTATCCATTGACTGAGAAATCATGATAAATTTAGTTGCAATAAACTTGAAACATTTTAAATAATACTTGAAAGCGCATTAGTGCATATGATTGTAGCCAATTTTGTATTAGGAATGAAAAAGTAGCATACGAATTAATAACTTTTTGATCAAGTCGGGGCCGAATCGAATCCCTAAGGGGAATACGATTTTTTTCAGTGAAAATCTGAGTCACAAGCAATCCCTGGAGATACAGCGAGTGATTGTTTGCTTTGCCCAATTGACGGATTGACTTACAGATACTTGTGTATCGCAGGACATGCCTGCTGCAAGTGCATGTGTGTGCGTGTGGGTCCAACCTTGGCCACCCCTTTTTCATTTTCCCCTATCCTTTTGGCACTCGGCATTCAACACACATCAGAGGCCGAAAAAGTGAAAGTGACTTCCCCCGATGCCCCAAACCTCCTGCGGAGTTCATCGGGATCTGCGCCTGCGCGCTGAAGGAGACTCTCTTTTTTTGGAGCAGCCGGCCATATGTGTACGAGTGTGGATGGAAAATCGCCGGTTGAGCGAACCAGGCTCGCAAAATAGTCGAGCAGCAACAGTCGGAACGGAGCAGTTGGCAACTCATTGGTCGGCAGCTGAATCGAATCGGATCGGATCGGACCCCAAGCCCCCCGGCCACCCTCTCGGCCTGGTCTGCATTGACCTGGTCGCCGCCGTGGTCGTGGTCAAGGTTTTTCCACTGACTTTCACTCTCACACATGTCCACTGTGACGTTGTCGGTGCCGGCACTTTCACTTTCGCCGTCACTCGACCGAAAGCACTAGCACGCACGCATCAGCCGAAAAGAGGGGCTTCCCCTTTTTCGTAGGCGCATGTCCTTGCAGTGGGCGGAATGTAAACAAACCGCAAATGGGGCGGTCAGGTCATTATAAAAGGAATTGCAATTGCAATTGCCTTTAGTATTATTCTACCGAGCAATGCAAGTTGTTTAACTATCTCTTATGCCAGCCAATTAAACTAATTATTCCCCTAATGAAGATAGTCCTTAAATGTCGTTCCAACTATTGTTTAGTTAATAGTGTATATGTATATGTGTACGGGTCCAATTAAACAAGCTTATGTTTAGAAACCATATGGGTTATGTGAGTGGAAACCTTAACCCCGTCAACCCTTTTCTTTTAAATGCACTCAACAACTTTGATTGTAAACCACTTAAAGTCTTACATGAATGCTTTAACAATAGGAGCATAGAAGTAACTTTACATATATGTACGAGTATATTTGAAAATATGTTTAGAAGAAATATTTTGAATATACGTGCTGTTTCTTAGCCATGAAACACGAAATAAATGGGTTGGCTAAGGTGTAGCACCCACCCAAGTCGTTAGCCAGCATTATAGTAATTATTAAATTTAAATTCAAACTGGACCCAACCCACTTCGCACCCTTAACCTAGCGTGTCCTGACGAAATGTCGCTTATGATTGATACGCCCTTTGAGCCCATATGCCACACTTACGCCCTCAAAAGCAGATCCTGACAGGACACCCCCGCCCAAATGCGGTGTGGGGACTGCAATTAATATTTCTGATGAAAATCAAATTGAAATTATGCGTGGACTCTAAAATGTAAATGGAAAAGGGAATTATAACGAGTCGGGGGATTGGAAAATCAACCCTCAGCACGGGGGTAATGATCTTTGTTAGTTTTCCCTCTAGTGTGCGGGAGGAATATTTCAGAGGGGACGGGTTTTGGTGTCGCCTTGCCGCGGGAAATACTCGTATGTGCGACAAATTAGTTGGCCTGACATACGCGTTGCTTTTATGTCCCTTTGATTACAAATTCATTCATTCATTGAGTTTTTTGGAAACTCAAATGTATAAGCAAAGGATCAAAGGATGTGTTATTAAGCCCCTAAATTTTATATTCAATTTAAGTAACAACCACGAACCATCATTGCACAAGAACGTTGAGGCAATTAGAATCAAATACTGCATTAATCTGAGTAATGTAATGACCATAACTAAGAGAAGCAGCCCCATAACTGAAAAAGAAAACCTCCTCGATTCTTCCGAATTCGTAATCACATGAAATGTTAGAAATGAGAAGTGTGTCAAAACAATTTCCTAGAATTCCTATTTCTTTCTTTCGTATCAGCAGAAATCCTTTGCTCAAAGCCCTAAGGTAAAGGACAGGAAAAAAAAGCGGAAAAACATTGCCAGTTTCTAGGTGCTCAGCTCATTAGTAAGAAATCTCATTAGAAACCAATGAACGCGCAGGAAAAGCAAACAAACAAACATGAATTTATGGGGTGCGGTGTGGAAAACAGTGTAATGAGAGGCATCGAAGGCCTCAAAATCGTTCACCGTTTGATATTTTTCCATCATTTTCACTTTCTCATCTCCATGGCGCATGGGCCACGAAGTGAAAAATTAATTTCCTCCAACCATTTTCATTTCCCACACACACTTACGCACAAAAAACCTATTTTCCGACCAACCGAAAAGCGAAAAGCCAACAAAAACTATTTCCATCTCTGTCGGACACTAAAACTTTTTTCTATCAAATATTACTTTGTACAATAAACTAAACGCGTGTGTGTGTGTGTATGTGTGTGTGCGTTCCACCCCCTTGCTTATGTGTGCGTTTGTGTGTGATAAAATAAAAATACCAAAAATATGAAAAAACGAGGAAAATTAATAATGAAACTCAAACACATAGACAAGGACAAATGCTGTGCACACAACCGCCCAAGTGCGTATGTGTGGGTGGGAAATGGGGAGAGGTGAGAGGGGAGAGGGAATATGGTTATAATAGTCATGTTTATAATAAGGCAAGTGTTTTCCTTGGCTCTAATGAGACTGATACCGTATTCCTTATCATCTGCCCCATCGGCATGATGAACATTTTGCAGAAGCCACCCCATAAGTATGCTGCAAAATATTTTGTAAGAAAATCTATCGTCCGAGAACTTTTCACCAAAAAAAAAAAAGAATACAAAAGCAGAAAAATTCCATAAATTCTAGCTTCTGCCTCAAACACACTGGCACACACACACATAGTGAGGGGAACGGGGAGAAGTTTGCAATTTTATCAGAAATACACACACCCACACAGCCAGGGGAAAACCGAACCACCCCGCGCCTCCTTTTTGGCCCCCGAAGCGAGTTTATGAAACCATCAAATTATTTTCTTTTCCATTTCTGACACTCAAAAGAAACGGCAAATATACAGAAGGAGGGATGAATGTGGGGTGGGATGGTGTGGGTGCTCCTCGGAGAAAGCGAGAAATGAAGGAAAAAGGGAGAAAAAATTATTATTTTCCAGTTACAGTCGGCTTGGTCTCCATGGTGGCCCAGGCACATCCTTTACATTATTTTCCTGCTGCTGCTCAAAGTTTTTGCCATGTGGCCCCACCCCCTCTCCTCCGCCCTTAACCCATAATGCCTGCGGGTTACATTTCGCCCAGCTTGTGTGTGTGTGTGTGTGTGGGTTGATGGGTGTGTGTGTGTGTGCAGCTACTTCGTCTTATTCGAGTACGAAATTTTTATGAGAAAATGCCTGGTTGTGATGTGCTCGTGTGTGTGTGTGAGTTACTGGGCTGTATATCAAAATATTTAAAAGCAAATATAATATTGAGGAGGTGGGTGGCTCTACGACTGTGTGTGTGTGTGTGTGTGTGGGTGGGTGGGTGTGTTGGCCAAGCTGAAATTCGGGCAAAAGGCGTAATAGAAAAACACTTAAGCCAACCCCCATCCTCTGAGCCCTGCGAAATAACAAAATGTAAAAAAATCATTTATACATACAGATGTATACAAGTATATACTTATATTAATAATGAGCCGCAGCGCCAGCGCAAAGAGAAAATGAGAAAAAAGAAAAATATTCGCTTCGCCAGTGTGTGTCTGTGTGGAATTTATTGATTTTCAGCGAATAAATATTGCTGGAGGAGCACATGGCAAGTGACTTAATATCAGTCGGCTGGATATTTACAACAGACACATGCAAAACACATATCAATAGATATATCTTCATATTGAAATTGATTTGTCCTGCTGACGTCGCTGTATGCTATCGTTGAAATTTTTATATTTTTATTGTCAGTCGCATTAAAAATACTTAATCTCCGACGGCCCAGTTATTGCCTCTGCCATGTCATAAAAAGTGGGTGGTAACCGGGGCGGGCATTTTAATCATGTCCATATCGAAAATTTTACTTTATCGCAGCCCAGAGCCCGGCATATTATTATTATTCCCGTCTCTGCTTTTACGTTATTAGCACCCGTAAGGGGACCTCGTGGCGTATGCTCGATGTGCGATAAAACCGTGAGCTAATGAGACTTTTTAATAAATTGTCCCATTCCGGCTGGCCTCGTTTTTAGTACAATTTTCATTATTAATAAAACTTTATGACACCTATATCAGGCATCGTGCACTTTTGTTTCATAAAAAAGAGAGAGAGCAGCGGACCCCACACACACACACAAGTAAACCATTTATTATTCCAATTAAATTTACCAACTTCGTTGGACATTGTCTCTGTGTGCGTGTGAGTACGTCATTATATCCATCAAAAAATCTCATCTATCACGCTTTTCGAGCACAAAATAATACATATTGGTGCATGTAACAAAAACCTTAACTGAAATGCTCTTGAAAACCTGGTTTGCCAATATAGCATACTTTTACGAATCGGAGTACAGTAAATCAACACGTATGATCTATGAAAATGTAATATTAATAACGAAAAATTTAAAATAAACCATGTTTTCAATAACGTATAGTTATATTCTTGAACAAAGTGATGAGATAAGTAATTACTTTAATAGCGAACAATTTCTGGCCATAAACCTTTGATATACCTTTAATAATTTCATAGTTGTTTATGTTGCAGACATAAACTTAAAAAAGGATGTATCAAATTGCAAATATTCAATTAAGTTTTGTTGAATTATTTATAAACGGAATCTAAACAAAATCATTCAAAAGTTATTAAAAGTGTTCTATACATACATGCATATGAAAGGGTATAAGTAAGGGGAAAAGGATAAAATGCAGTCATTTAGTTTCCATATATCTTTATAATGAAATGTTTTTAGATTTTATTTTCATTTATATGGTAATTTTGAACTGGAAATTAACGTTGACTGCACCCGGTGTATGTGAGGGGTTTAAAGCGTTCGGAAGCATTAAGCAAACACAATTTTCATTTGCCAATTCAAATTTTTGTTGATTTCATTTGTTTCAAGCCAATTGTAATTTTTGTTTTTAGTTGGCCAATGCAAGCGGGCATAGTTCAATTATCTTAGATCCGGTACACGGATTATGTTGGGTTACAGTTTTCGTAGCTGGGACTCACAATGTCTCTGGCCAGAGAGAGCATCTTTAATCCTAAGTGTAACGTTTTGCGATAACTCCTTGAATAAGGCATGTTTTGGGCTAGTATCAAAATTTTAAATTATTTAATACTTAAGTAGTTTGTTAGAGTTTAAAGCACTTATCGGGTTTTTAGCACAGCGTTTATGCTTATAAAAATACAAAATAAGCTTGGTTATCCTTGATTTAATATGTTTGTGTTGCCACCACTTTTTGATTGTTATTGGCTTACAAATCCTCGGGTTTTGTCACTTATTTCAAACACTTTGGACACAGTAAATCGGCAGATTGCTATTTGCATTTGTTTGGCTTTCATTTGCTTCTCATGAATTTGGATTGATTTTGTTGCAGCTGGAAACTTACAGAACTTGTACGGGGCGTTACACTTAATTGATCATGCCGACAAGTCCAAAACGACGCTGTGGTAGCCACCCGCGGCTACTTCTGCACCACGTACGCGTTTTCTGTAGACTGATTCGGCTTTTCAGTTTTCCCAATTGCCAGCCTGCCGCCAAAGGATGCAGTCACCCACACCCGCGCACTCGATTGAGAGCGAGAGCTCGCGAGAGAAACCACCCCCAGATCCACCCCCAACCTCCAGCGGGCAACGCTCTGTTGCTATTTTGTTTACTTCTCGCCGCGGGGCGTTCTATGGGCTAAAAAGAGAAAAACCACACGGCCTAGTAAGGGACAGGGTGGTAGAGCTTGGCAAAACATGTGCTTGTCTTATCCACTAGCTACTTATATTATTTGGCGCCCAACGTGGGGCATTTCAGCATAAGGTTCAGTTTGGTTCCTGCCTAATTCGTCTTTTAAAATCATCTAATTTTTGTGGTTATTTTTAAAGTGTAAAGAACATACAATTTTCATACAACAAATTTTAAACAATTGTTCTAAACCCATGCCATCTTTATATGTATACTTCGCGCCCACTTGATGGATTCGCAGTAAAAGCACACATCCATATAAGTAAACCAATCCTACCCTCTGCTCACAGGACATGCGTATTAGATAAGTCAAATATAAAAATGACACTCAGAGAACCACTCTCCGGACCATTTTTTGTTGTTGTTGCTAAAACAGTTTATCAACACGCCCGAGTCTCTGATAAAACAATCATCGTTTATGGTGCAACACGCTTCAACCGCCGCCCCCCAGCAACATAATTGAGATATAGTCCAGTGACCAGACCAGCAACACCGAACTGGGGTGGCTAACAAATCGAGTGGAGTGGAATGGCCAGGAGGACAGTGAAAAGTGGTGGGAGTACATTCGAGTGTAGAGTTGTGTGGACATGTTCTGTAACCGCATGATTACAAATCAAGCAAAGTCGATGTAGAGCTGAATCCTTGTATGTATTGAAAACCGGGTGGGGAGCCGAAACTGGGTTAAACTAAAACCCTTCCATTCAAATTTGTACATAATGATTTTTCAGCTTGTTTATGACAAGTAATATCAATGCTCAGGCGTGCCTATTCCAGGCTGCTCGGCCCACGCAAACGACCCTTAAACGGAAAGGCAGTTTTCGCATTTTCTTTTAAATTACAGAACAAAACTAAAATCTACACCACATTAAGTCGACGCATTGAATACACAAACAAATCTTCTGTACAAAAACCGAGTTAAATAATATATAAATATTTAATTTATATAAATTGTATCTCCATAGAATGTTTCTCAAATTCTATAAAAATGTACACAAATTGTTACACAAACTAGAAACCTTAGTTAGTAATAATAATTTGAATTAAATATAATAATTAAATATAAAATATGTATATATTTAAATCAAAAAGCATTTACTTCCACTTGAACTCAGTGCATGCATGCTTTTCGTGTAGAGTATAAGAAAAGACGAATAAGAAATTAAATATCCGCTTAGCACGATATATTCAAATTTTTTGTTTCCTACCGTCCCCGAGGACAGCGGATTTTTATTTGACTTTTTATATGCCATATAAACTAGGGCCGTGCGTCAGTACGCGACTTTTCAATAAATCCCGTCCTTAGCGGGCAAACTTATTTATCCCCTTTGCTGCTGCTTGATGTTTTACGCTGTCGGTGCTGCAGAAGCTCCTGGTATTGCTCAATGGATCCGTCCTCATGCTTGGAAGTAAATGAATCCGGCTTTTCGGCCTTGGCCTGCTCCTCGCTGGCGGTGACTTTGCTGCGTTTTGATTTCTTGAGTTTGTCGCGGACGCGTTTTCCCAAGCGCGATTCGGCCAGCACTTGGCTGACCTTGGAGCTCTTCATGTACCGTGAACGCCAGGACTTTAAACAAAAGGATTATTATGATTATAAAAAAAATAATTGTTTTGATGAGCATTTAAAAATACCTCAGAGTCTGGCGGCTGTAGTTTGTCGCGTTCGTCCTCACTTGTGTCCAGGGATATGACATCGTTGTCCAGGTCCTCGGGATCCTGCATTTTCTCCTTCTTCTCACTTTTGATGCTCACTATAGGTGAATCGTCATCCTTCGTCATTTCGTCCATCATTTCTAGATCACCACCTATTGAAATAACATCGTCGTTTTGATCTTCGTCGTCAATGGCAGTTGGTTCGGATGCAATCGGCTTCTTTGGCTCTGCAGGGGGATTAACTGAGGGAGCTTCTTCCGAGGGCTGTTCCTTATCACTTGATTTATCTACCGTATCAGATTTATCCGATTCTTCTGGTTTACTACTTTCCAGTTCTTTCGGTATAGCGGCTGCTTCTGACTCGGTAGGCTCTTCTGGATGGGCTGGCTCATCTACCTTGGCTGGCTCTTCGGGTTCATCGCGCACTTCTCCTTCCTCTGGCTCGCTATCAACGACTGGCGCTGGTGGGACCTCTTCGACTTGCTTAATGGTTTCAATTGCCTTCTTTTTCGTGGCCTCATCATCCGTGCTATCGCTGATCAGCAGTGTTTCAGGCTCCGTTTGTATGGTTATCACATCTGGTGAGGCCGAACGTGAATCGGAAGGTGGCAGTTTGTTCAAATCGTTACATGAAACCAATGTTTCGGGAGCAGGAGCAGATGTTGGAGGTGCAGCTTCCTTCTCTGGCGATTTTGAAGTCAGCCGATAGTTTCTCTTAATCTTGATTCTTTTCCGGGAAGCTGGCTGCTCCTTGCTGATGCTATCTGGCTGGGAAAGAGATGTTGCCTGCGATTTCCGCTTGCCCGAATCGGTATTTTTAGTATTGCGCTTTTCCTTTTCTTTTCGCTGAACTTTTTCCGGTGATACCTCGTCATTGTCATCATCCGACTTGACCTCTATTTTGGTGATTGGCTCCATTGCCAGCTGGGAGCGGATGGCCCTGGCACGCGCCTGAAGTTCCAACAGTTCCAGCACGCTCATCTGACCGCCGGCTGTAGGAGAAAAGTGTACCTTAGTAACCTGAGCACATTTGCAGTCAAACGGACACAGACTCACAAGGCAGTTGTTCTCATATGTTCGTTCGATTTTGTTTACTTTTTATATATCCGTAAAGTTGATACTCACACTCTTTGTTTTCATTCCCATTGCTCGTTTTTTTGGATCTAAGCTTCTTCTTCGCTAAATTTTAGACACAGATTGCATTACAAATTGTACGTAAAGAATACTTTAAATTAACTGCACGCCAGGATGCCGATCAACCAGAAAGAGGTAACGGCGCAACTAGACAGCCAGACAGGTGAGGATCAGGGGGAGGAGGAGGAGCAGCCGGAGGACGAGAATCGTCTGGAGAAGTTCACTGTGCGGCTTAATGGACAACATGACCTGGAGCAGCGTTTAAAAGATTTCAAAGCGGCATGTGAGGCTCACGAGAAGCATGCCAGACGGCGGAAGCGGAAGCGATACTACCATTTGGGTCTTGTGGCCAAACTGGTAACGGAAACCACTCACGACGAGCTGCGACGTATGCTAGAAAATGGAACCTACACCTTTCACGTCGATGCGGTGGCCAATAAGCCCGATGAACTAACAGCCATTTTGGACACTATGAACATCGCCATTTCGGCGCATTCTGTAGAGAGGGAACTACGTCTGACCACTGGCCTGGCTCTCGAGATTAACGGCGAGTGCTGTCGCGTTGGCAGACTGAGGAACAACTGCACTGTGATGTTGGCACGAGGTGGGGTGGTGACACTCACCACGGATGAATCTTACCGCTACAAAGGCTTTAAGGAAATAGTATACGTGATCAATCTGCGTTGTTATCTCGCCTCCGTTCAGTTGGGTGATATTGTGCTGATCGGACGTGAAGTTAGGGGTAGGGTGGTTAAGACCCTGCGAGAAGCACTAACCGTGATGATCATAGATGCCGGCCTGGTAGCCTCCTACGATTTTATAGAGCTTCCTAGACAGTGCCACGCTCTGGATCCGGAGCTATATCCCGATCTGTACATGAAGGACCTTGAGATGGCCGCGTCTATGAATGCCAACTATGTGGTTCTGCCCAAGATACGATGCAAGAGCTTCCTTCGTGCCGTGAGACAGACCTTGAACTCCGACTTCAATATAAAGTTGATTGGGATGATAGATTTTGAATATGTGCGGAGCAACATGCTGGATCTGCTAGGCATCATAAAGCTGGTGGACTACATTTGGATACCGGACATGTTCAACGTAAACTGTTGCGTCTATAACTACATTATGGAGGACGTGATTCCCATTTCGCAGTGCCAGAAGAAGCCAGTAATTGGCACAGTTCCGCTGGAACGTTGCAGCGATTTTAAGCGATTTGAGTTGCACGATTTCCTGTGGAAGGTCGACGCTATTCACATCCAAAAAAGTCCATGGTGCAACAAATATCCTCTGATAGTCAAAAAGCTGATGCCCATTAAAGATTATCGAGTTGGCGCGGTCCAGAATAAGATGGTACTGAAGAGCATCCTAACCTCGTACCAGACGATAGTGAATTTTATTATCCGCACAATAAGCTCGATAGAGTGCCAAGCCATATTTTTGTTCACCACTTGCGACACGGCCAGCGTGGCCCTTTCGCGAATTGAGATTTACTGCCCAGTGTATGTTATGATGCCGCTGGAGGAGACAGATGATGCGGAAACCATTACCTGCAAGGTGGAACTGGCTCGTGCGCTTCATTTGCGCCGCAACATGCACCCGGTTCTTTACACCAAGGATCTCAACGAGTGCAACTACAGTCCTATTGAGTTTGGAGTGGACTTTATGCGGAAGAAGGGCTGCTTGGAGGTTGGAGACTTTGTAGTTACCCTGGAGGTGGGCAAAGAGGATAAGGATAACGTGGTTATCGGCGTAGGAGAGGATGTCTGTATCCTGCGTGCATTCTACGTGTCGCCACTCTTTGCCTGCGAGAAGTTTAAGTACGGCGGCTAATATTACGACGTGCAGTTGTGAAGATTACACAGATAATACGCTCTAAATTAAATGTATCTTTGCCACCAACTTACTTTTTCGGGATTCCTGACCTATGTCGCTGTCGGAAGAAATCTCCTCTAGCGAGATGTGTTCTGAAATGAGAACTTTGTAATTTACGGGCTTATAAGGTGACAAGGTGCTTCAACATACCCTCTTTGTGCTCTACATCGGAATCTTCGGAGCTTTCTGTGTCTGTGGGACATTTTGTGTTTTCTATTATGGATTTGAGGCGCTTCGTAGACAAGCAGAGTAGCTCCTCCAGACAAAGTTCTTCGATTTCGTCCAGGGGTGTTTTCTGTGTAAAGGTATTAGTAAATACTCGTAATATGAAGAACTATAACACACCTTAAGAAACTCTGGAGCCAGGTTCATGATAGTTTTCGGTTTTAAGGTCCCAAAAATCTGTTTCACCAGCTCCAGACGGTCGTCTATGTAGTGGGAAATAGGGTGCAGTTTCCGGTCCTCCTCGATCTTCTCCTTCTTAATGCTAATGGGCTTTGGGATGAGATCGCCCTTGCTGGACTTTTTCGCCTTTGAGCCACTCATTTTATCCAATTTGTTGTCAAAATAAAAACTAAACAATTTCGGTATTTCCTGCAGCGTTGCCACTCCAATCACTCATATGTATCAGTGATGCTTTAGCCTTTTTCCGGACAGATCTGTTTTTTACTGCCCTAACCCGGAAATCTGTCCTTTTTTAAGTTTTTCTATTCGGAAATCTGTCCTTTTTAGGCAATGTAAGAATTTTTAAAATTTAATTGGTATACCCGAAACGTATTTGAAACGCATTGGCACAATGGCAACGTATGAATCAAACGTTAAATAATATACGTTAATATAAAATATTAAATTAAAAGTTAACTAAATAAATAATAATCATAAAAAAAATCTGTCCTGTTTTTTCATCCTTTTTTTAAATTTTCAGCCTATTTTTTCCGTTTTTTTCTCAATCTGTCCTTTTTTTACAGAAAAATATTGGCATCCCTGATACAAAGAGCTACTAAATTAATCTTGAGCTTAATAATATTAATATTAATAATAATATTAATATTAATAATAATATATTATTTTGTCATAATTATATTAGTGAGTGAAATAGTGAGGTCTTTAAAGTGAGTAGTAAAAATTGTCTTAAATAAAGCCTGAAGAATGTTTAACTTACTGTTGGAACACAAAGTTATCGCCGCTTTGAATATGTACTTAGGAGTCATATTTTCTTGTAGCCCTATAATTCCCAACTGGTTCTAGTGAGGACTGTAAGGCATGTCTTCTAATTTACCCGTCGAGCAGTGAGTGTAGTGTATGTGTAGTGTACGCACCGGAGTATGTATGTAAGTATGAAGGATGTATGTCTGCACGTATGTATGTATGTATGTCTGCACGTATGTATGTATGTATGTCTGCACGTATGTATGTATTTCTGCACGTATGTATGTATGTATGTATGTATGTATGTATGTATGTATGTATGTATGTATGTATGTATGTATGTATGTATGTATGTATGTATGTATGTATGTATGTATGTATGTATGTATGTATGGATGTATGTATGTATGTATGTATGTATGTATGTATGTATGTATGTATGTATGTATGTATGCATGCATGTATGTGTTACTTGAACAAAGTAGTAAGAATTGTCTTAAATAAAGCCTGAAGAATGTTTGACTTACTGTTGGAACACATAGTTATGGTCGCTTTTAATATTTGTTTAGGAAACATATTTTCTTGTAGCCCTATCATTCCCAACTAGTTCTAGTGAAGACTGTAAGGCATGTCTTCTAATTTAGAGTCACAAAATATTTCAAGTAATCTCTCTTACCGGTCGAAAAGTGAGTGTAGTGTACGAAACATTTAAAATTATAAATTAAAAGTTAATTAAATAAATAATAATCATAAAAAAAATCTGTCCTGTTTTTTCATCCTATTTTGAAATTTTCAGCCTATTTTTTCCGTTTTTTTTTTTCTCAATCTGTCCTTTTTTTCAGAAAAATTTTGGCATCACTGCTATGTATATGCCTTGCACATTGGGCCAAAGCAACAATTTTTTGTATTAAGGCCGATGGCTTTATTTTAAAATTAAAAACAAAAATAAAATATGTGCATTATTTTAAAATATATTTAATAAAAAATACTTTAGAAAATTTGAATTCTTATATTTGCGAACGACACATAGAACCCATAGTTTGATGTGCTTACGTTATGTACATTTTGTTCCTGTTATGGCATATATTGCCATATCCATATGTTAACCACAGCGCGCTGTTGCTAACAGGGCTATTGTTTTTCGTACAAAACAGCTGATTTGCAAGCGGTGTAGGCAAAAAAAATTCGTGTAGTGGTTCTTTGGCTAACAATTTTTGAGGTAAGTTTATTTTTTAATCGGATTTGTAATCAATCGGTGAAAAAGTGCTTGCCTGCAGCGGTGAAAGCATTTTTATATAAGCAAACAGTTTCTTGTCGTAGATATCTTGCGAAATCCGTTAGTGTAATAGTGCTTATGGCATTATTTTAGTGTTTGATTCTTATTAATAGGGAAATGTTACTAATTCAAGATACAGTTGCAATATATATTTGCATATTCTAGATTAGTTTTTATTGACATGCCCCTTAAAAAGTAACATGATCTGTTAAGTAACAGTGGCGGCACATTTAGGGTATTTCAGTTGGGGGGCATGTTTTCATAGCTATGCCACGGTCACACTGAACATATGTTCCAGAAAGAATGGCTGCGATTTCGCGTCGGTAAAAATAGCACATATTTGTTAATGTGCTGTGGGAACGCTTCCTCCCCGGCCCCAAAGTGGCCTGAAAAAAGTGAGCAAATGTGCGCGCCGCATGATAGTTGCCGCCGAACAAACGATAGTGACGAAAGCGATTTAATCCAAGTACCAGCCCCCCGCAAATACGATGAGTGTGTCGCGCGGAAGTAACACAACGCTGGATCTGCAGCCGCTCCTGGAGAGCGATGTCGGAAAAAGGGAGCAGGAGCAGATGGGCGGATCGGGAGGGGCATTGCTGCTGAATGGATCTGGTTCGAAAGAGCTAAGCCACCGGGAACGCGAGGACTCGGCACTGTTCGTCAAGAAGATCGGGAGCGCTTTATTCTATGGCTTATCCTCCTTCATGATCACGGTGGTAAACAAGACGGTGCTGACCTCCTACCACTTCCCTTCGTTCCTGTTCCTCAGCCTCGGCCAACTTACTGCTAGCATTGTGGTCCTGGGGATTGGCAAGCGCCTGAAATTTGTGAACTTCCCTCCTCTGCAGAGAAATACTTTCTGGAAAATCTTTCCACTGCCACTGATATTTCTCGGAAACATGATGTTCGGACTGGGCGGCACAAAGACCCTGAGTCTGCCCATGTTCGCGGCCCTACGACGCTTTTCCATACTGATGACGATGCTGCTGGAGCTCAAGATTCTAGGACTGCGACCATCGAATGCGGTTCAGGTCAGCGTGTACGCCATGATCGGTGGAGCACTGCTGGCGGCCTCTGATGATTTATCCTTCAACATGACGGGATATATCTATGTGATGATCACAAACGCCATGACCGCCTCGAATGGCGTGTATGTGAAAAAAAAACTTGACACCTCGGAGATCGGAAAGTACGGCCTGATGTTCTACAACTCGCTGTTTATGTTTCTGCCTGCCCTGGCCCTCAACTATGTTACAGGGAATCTAGATCAGGCGCTGAACTTTGGACAATGGAATGACTCATTGTTTGTGCTGCAGTTCCTTCTCAGTTGCGTTATGGGTTTCATCCTATCGTACAGCACCATCCTGTGCACGCAGTTCAACTCGGCGCTGACCACCACCATTGTGGGCTGCCTTAAAAACATCTGCGTAACCTATCTGGGCATGTTCATTGGCGGCGACTACGTCTTCTCGTGGCTCAACTGTATCGGGATCAACATTAGCGTGCTGGCTAGTCTGCTGTACACGTACGTCACTTTTCGGCGGAAGCGGGCGCCCGATAAGCCGGACCACTTGCCCAGCACCCGCGGCGAGAATGTCTAGCTTCGTCTTAGCTCAAACTCAAGCCAAAGCCATACGATATGTTTAGTTTATTCCGTACTACGTACTTCATTGCGATCTGCGATTTGCGACTTCGTATTCGATTTTCCTACAACCACACAGCGCATCGTGTCTGTACATATATCTAGCAATGTTTCTAAAAGAGTGTAATTTAGCAATTATGTAATTTTAATCACTTTTGTACATTTGTCTGCATGCAACTGTTTCCTGCATCGAAAGTGTTATAAGAAATAGAAATACACAGACATCCGTTCCTCCTCCGACATGGGTGGGCCAAGTAACCAATTGTGTTCTGTCTTGTATTATTTGGGGCATTATTGATAAGATTGTCTCCTCCGATAAGGCCCACAATGTGGACCTAGCTAATTAGGCAAAAATTACAATCACGTGTGCCTTCTAATTAGTTTTTTGTGTAAAATAAGTAATGTACGGAACTACGTTGTGCGATTTCTCAATTACATGTGTTCTATCGGCTGTTTATCTTTCTGGGCAAACACGTTGGTGCCTTGAGATTGCTACAAAACAAAGTACTGCATTGCCGGACTATCCACACCGACACACTTGGGACGGGTTGACCGATTACTGATTACCCTTATCAAAGTCTTGGGCTTTTATTTTTTTTGTTATTATCAGACAAAGCGAGTGGTAATAGTATTATTTAGATTAGCACGCCTTTAGTTTTTTGGGCTGTGTAAACTGCGTCTGTTGTTGATTGCCTCAATAGACTTTTGCCTAGATTTGGACTGCTGAAGAATCTTTTTCTTTGCCTTATAAGCAAATAAATTTGCGCAGCTAATACTTCACTTTTAACAAAATACATACATACATACATATGTACATATGTGTGCTTTAAGGCGGGTATATATTTTCCTAGAATTAGATTTTAGTTGGTAACCGACGGGAGCACAGCTTTGCGCTCCCAGTTGGTTATCATAAGATTGATAGACCAGATAGATTGTTTAAATTCTTGTTTAGCTATTTTGCTAAGATTAACTTATCTTATATAGAGGGACTACCCATTAATCCAAAGAAACAACTATGACGACATTGATTTCGGGTATAAAGCCGGAGAATGAGGTGCCAGTGCCCCGGCAGCACTTGGTTTGGGTTATTTTGGGACCCCGCAATATGGATAGGCGGTGGTGAAGTGAGGGATTCGGAGTGGGGCAGGTAATAAGGAAGCCCAAACCGGTTTGCACAGACTTAACCGTGCGGTGAGGTAAATTGTTAGTCAGCATCAGCCCCGTCCGCGTACCCACATTATGGACAAATTGTTTGCTCATATTCGCTGCTATTGAAAGTGGCACGTACGTACGGCTCGAAAGACCAGCTTTAACCGAAGACAGGTAGTCAGGGTCATGTTTGTGTGCAATGATGATAATGATAATAATGATGATGATGCCGACGATCGTGCTGATAAGGTCACCGGGTGCACCTCCCCATATCTCCTCTATGAATCCACAGATCATCATGATGCAACGCTGTTTGCGTCTACCAAAGCTGCTGGCCCTGCGACGAGACCTTCACTTGGCCCAAGTTGAACGCCAAGCGGTGGTCACAGAAGCACCCGAGGCGGAGCCACAGGATGCCTTTGAGCGCCAGTACTTCAAGGAGCGAATCGAGATATCGCCATTCCAGCGAGTTTTCCTGGCAGCAGGATCCTCCATTGCTGCTCTTTTGGATCCAAGACGGTACGGCATCGTAATAAATTCAATAAATCCTTAAGCTTTTAAATATTATTATTAAATCCCCTTAAGCCATGACATGATCGCCTGCTTGGGAGAGACGACTGGAGAGGATGCTCTATGGACCATTTTGGACTCCATGCAGGCCAGCGAAGAGGGTCAGCGCATCATGGCTGATAAACCCCGCATCCACACCAGCACTATTGACTTCAAGTACCTAGAAACTTTGCCACCGGATACCTTTGGAGCCGCTTACGTAAAGTTCCTGAAAGATAATGTAAGTAGAGCGGTAAAGTCAGTAGGAACAAAAGTTAGTACATTCTTAAGAGAACTTCTACAGAGAATGCCATTGTAGTAGGCCGAATTTCAAGTTGGTGTTTCGTAGCCACCATAACGTCGAGGTATAGAACATTAAAACAACTATCAATTGAAAAACTTAAAAATGATTAGATTATATACCGGCAAATCAATATAATATTTAGGTAGATAGATGTATTTAAATGTCCGCTGTGTGTTTGCCCATCGATTCGGCTATAATTTTGGTAACCAACTTTTAGCAAGTCACGCCGGACAGTCGCATGGCCGTGAGGTTTTTGGAGGAACCGAAGTTGGCCTACTTGATGACGCGGTATCGCGAATGCCACGACCTCATCCACACGGTGTTGGACATGCCCACCAATATGCTCGGCGAGGTGTCCGTCAAGTGGGTGGAGGCTCTGAACACGGGACTGCCCATGTGCTATGGTGGTGCGGTGTTCGGAGCAGTTCGCCTACGTCCCAAGTGAGTTCAGTGAACTGGGTTCTCTAATTATACTTCCATTCACGCGTTTGTTTATTTTCTCGTTTACTTAGGCAGCGGCGTGCGTACTTGAAGCATTACTTGCCGTGGGCCCTGGAGAACGGTAAGCGGACCAAGCCCTTAATGCCTGTTTACTGGGAGAAGCGCTGGGAGCAGAACATCCACGATCTGCGCTCCGAATTGGGAATTACCGTGTTGAATAAAGCTTGATAAGGTGTTTCATTTTTAAGGCGCCTTTTGAAGTTTAAACTTATCGATTACAGCTATCGCGTACTATTATCGCGATCGTGGGAAAGTGATCTGGCAACGCCTGCTGTAAGACCGAAAAGGTTTTAAATGTTTCCATTTCATAAAAATATTTTATAATTAAACAAAAGAAAACAAATTAAATTTAAAAATCCAAATAAAACCAACTTGCAAGTTTTTTTAAATGTGAATGCGATCACAGAGAACTGTATATATCCGAGAATGATCGCATCGAAACCTAATCCGATGTGGCAACTCCACTCGTTGTGTTTGCATTTGCTGATGTGTTGTTTTGTTTTTTCGGTCCATTGTCTTAATGGCTAATTATTTCTAAGTTAATCACCATGACTGAGAAATTCAATGGTTTTAGCCACGACGAGATCCTCAAGATCACGGGTGTGAAGGAGGGCGGTGTGGGCAAAAGACCTGCGAGTCTGGAAGCAGGTTAGATCACTATGCATGAACCACGAAGCGTGTAAACAATTAGCTGCTTATAATAAAAAACCTTTGCCTATGTGTGCGTGAGCAGCGAAGCAGGCGCTCCGGAATCAACCCGGCATTCGGCGGATGCCCGATAAGATCTTCCGGCAAGCGGATCAGTTGCGGAAGCAGCAGCAGCAGCAACCACTGCAACCCATACAAAAACCGGATATAGCGAAGAAGGCCAAATCGGGAACGGCGACTCCCACGGAAAAGACACCAATTCCCACTCCAGCAGCGGAAGATGACGTAGCGAACGGATCGCTGAACTTGGACCGCCCACTTTCTGATTCATTAATAGAGGCACTCTACCATGGACATGCTACAGCTAGAGATAAGAAACCCCCCGCCACGTACGCGGATGCTGAGGCAACGTCCACTGACGACAGTTCGATTCTGAAGATAAGCGGCGGTGATAGCCAGGCCACTAGCTCCACGGATGATGGCAGCATCCTGCCGAGCACCCAGGACTCCTGCTCGCGGGAGCGCCTTAACACAGACTCACCTTTCAAGGGCATCTCCCTAAAGGACTTCGAACAGCATCGCCGCATGATCGAGGAGCAAAACAAGCAGAAGAAACAAATGCTCTACCAGGCCATCGAGCAGCACACCCAGAAGACGGCGGCGGAGTCGCGAAAGATCGAGGAGATCCGTCACGAGCTCTCCAAGCTGGAAAGTGATCTGGCCGTGGACGTAGCCCTGCTGAGGAAGCAGATCGACAATGCCTGCATACATTTTGCCAATGTAGAGTAAGTGGCGTAGCTAAATACTTGTGTTCCCCGTATTAATCTTTTTGTTGCACAGAAAACAATACGTCAAGATCGAGGCTCAGTTCTTGCGGGCCAAGATAGAGCTGCACAATGCATCCGAAAAGAAGGAGATGCTTACCGAGCATCTTTGCACAGTGATTGCCCACAACGAGGACCGCAAAGCGCAGAAGCTCACTGAGTTGATGCAGAAAGTGGGACTCTCGCCAACCGATGATTGCCAACCGATTGATGTAACCCCCCAAAGCCCCCAAACCTAAATGTAAACTCAGCTTGAAAAATTCTTTAATTCGAATATTCAGCGCTGTTTTGCCTAAACTGACCAGTAGTTTCAATTCGTTGCTCCCTGAAATATTATAATTTTTAAATGGAAAATTTATACGCTAATTTTCGATTGGCTATAATGTAATGGTATCGTAAACATAAAACACGCCTAAACTTTGTGGAAAGCGCTCTAATATTAGTATGTAATTAATGTTCATAGCATAAGTGATGAAGTGCAAATTGCAAATAAATATGTGTATGTTATGTGTAAATTTTAACTTTTGAAAAAAGGTAGAAATCCCATAAATTTAAAAGCAGTTGGTACTGAGATTTTGATAAAAGAAGGGTATTAAAAACCGACCATTAAGCACATTTGTGTTATTGTTTGGTTTGGACTAGGTGGCAACACCTCCTGTTGCTGTAACAGCTGATTGTTTTCAGAGTGGAATAGAATAAACGTGCAAGCTAAACAATACAATCAGAAAAAGTGTTTCTAAACGAGCTTAAATAAATAAAACTAACATAATGGCAGGTCGTGGAAGGGGTGGCAAGACAGGCACCCTCACGGCGGAACAAATGGCCATGCTGGGATGCACAAAAGATATGCCGGTGCAGACTGCGCCGCCACCTACATTTCCGCCTGTTTTGAACAGACCCACTACCCTAGAAGTTTGTATAAATCCTTTTACTTTAGCCACTAAGATCACTATCACTATGATCAACGTTTTGCTTATTCTACTCCATAGGCAACCGCCACACAAAACTACCAGCTCCTGTGGAAGGAGGATTTTCTTAACCGAATGCGAGATTCACCCTATTACATAGTCTCCGCCAGTCAGGACGCAAAAAAACTTGTGCACAAGGACTGGCGAGAAGTAATAATCCTAGCTATTTAACATTTGCTGTTTATAATACTGTTTTAACATCCCCAGAAAGCCATGGAGCGCATGAAACTCAAAGCACATCCCGATTTTAACTACAAAGCCATGCCCCAGGAGCTAAACATCTCCAGTCGAAAACGTCGTGGAGCAGATGCAAGGCCGAAGCTGCTGGCCAAGAAGACGAATATCGAGGACAGGCTGAAGGTTCTGGAGCAGAATGAACTGAAGTCAGGTGGCGGTGAGCAGGATGATGCCAAACAGGAATCCGATTCCGAACAGGAGGAGGAAGATCCGGAGGCGGCGTTGGATGATGAGATGGACGAGGACAACGACTACGGTGCAACGTACTTTGATAATGGAGAAGCTTTCAATGATGAGGACGACAACTTGGACGATGGTCCCGTATACTGAGACAAATAAAACCATCGAACTGAATACTTTCGGATCTGTGATTTACTATGTCGCCACTTTAAGCTTATTTAACACAAATTTTGGATTAGTTTACACGTAAGGGATGACTGGCTTAGTCCAGGCTCTTGGGCACGTAGTAGTTGAAGTGGATGAGACCAGAAGTCTTCACCTGTAATGGGTATTGCAATTAGACCAGTATAAGATTCAAGGAATTGACATCAACTTACGAATCCAACAGTGCCGGCCAGGACGAGAATGCCAGTGATGAGGGCAACATTGTACTTGGCGTTCTTCTGGCTGTGCTGCTCCTTCCAGTCTCCAGCAGGCACGGGCAGATCGTTCATGGTGGAGTGGGGACCATGTCCACCGTGGTAAGCGGCACGCGACAAAGCGCCAGCTGAAATGAAAGGTATAATAATATTTCAGTGCATTGTGTGAGTATGAAACGCATTAAAAGAGGAAATCCCAACGGAATGTAACTCGAGAAATGATGTCATCCAAACTACTCCCGATATTTATTTGGCTAATACTGAAGCTTTCCCAAGATTGGTGGGTGAACCATTCCTCTGCAGTTCCTTGAAGTTCCTCCCTTAGCTTTTCCACATTATGTAATTTTTAAGGTTAGCAGTTTTGCTGAAAAAGAGTGTTGGGCCACTCAAACTCACCATTCTTGAGCAGAAGCCCCTGCTTGACAATGTGCTTAACCAACATGATTGCTCGAAAGTTGCTGCAAATGGGTAAATATGGGTTTATTTTCACTGCAAATTTTTTTTTCGCATAAAAATTCACCCGTAAATTACCTTGTGTTGAACAGTGTGACCGTTTTGGGCTTATGGAATAATATCTACCCTGCAGTTGGAGATGAGATCCCGAGCGCTTATTACGCTTATTCTTGATATTACGATACAATGGAACCCTCAAAATATATATCATACATAATTTTTTTTAAATCATTATTAATTAACAAATTTTATTTAGTATCTGCACTCTTAACAACCGAATGATATTATATTAAAATAATGATCTTTAACCACTTGATCACGCTCACGCCGCGCGCTCCTCCCTTACCGATAGTCTGTAAACGCGTCTGCATAAGCGCTGCTAAATCAGCTGTTGGTGCGGAGGCGTTCTCCAATTGCTAATTGCAAGTGCAAACAATTGGCAAGTTGTTGATTCTTGTAAGGACTTTATTTGAGACCAGTGCCTACCGAAGACATTCCCAGCCATGCTGTCCATTGGCGCGATGGCCAACATCAAGCACACGCTGCAGAAGGAGCTCTTCCTGGCCTCCGGCGAACGCCTCCTTTCTGTGGTGACGGTGGTCAAGAAGAAGGACAAGAAGCCCTGCTACCTTTGCGTGGTCACCACGCCTCCACCGGTACCTGTGGTCACTTTGTGTCTCATCAAACAGTCGGAGCAGCGCGAGGGCGAGTACAAGCGCAAGCGGAGCTGGCAGCTGGACGAGATTAAGTGGGTTGACGGCCGGAACGAACAGTTCGAGACACACGAGTTCGATTTCCAGCTTGAGAAGCTGTACAAATGGTACGCCCTAAACCCTCACGAGCGGCAAAACTTTCTAGCCGTGCTCAACCGCCAAATCCAAAAAAGCGTGCGTGGCCAGCGGGCGGAGTTCCGGAATGTGCCCGCAGCCTGGCTGTCGGAGAAGTCGCCGGAAAAAGTAGCATTAGGCAGAGCGGCTCAAAAGACGCAACACACGGACGACGAGGAGGACGAAGAAGAGGAGGCCCAGGAGTTTACCGCTTTGACGGACAAGGAGGCCAATGAGCTGGGCAAACTTTTCTCCGAGTGCGACTTTGCCATCAAGGATGCTGAGCAGTTCATAGAGCAGCTCTCGCGGGAGCTTCATGATTTAGATGGGGTGACTAAATTGGGCATGTTCAGCGGATATACATTACTCATAACTTCTTATCTCGCAGGCCAATATGCAAAGTGTTCTAGCCTCGGAGCAGAAGGTACTGAAAATGATGGAACACATCGACAACGCTATCTCCGAGGCAGATAAGTTTGAGAACCGTCTTGACAGCTACGAGGATATTCTGGGCCATGTCAAGGAAACCATGGAGAAAATTGGTGGGAAAAATGCCATGATCGAGATTGCCAACAATAACAATATCAAGCTAATGAAGGAGCTCAACAAAGTCATAGTGCGTATTATTAGTATACATAGTTTAATAATGTTTAATAATTATGTTACTTCTATAGAGTCAACTGGACTTGCCGCACAGCCAGCAGCAGGCGCTGGATGAACCCGACTTAAAGACTGCTAATGGACGCAAAGCAGCCATTGCAGCTGCTCAGTGCCTGCAACAGGCCATGAACAGTGATATAGATCCCGCTCTGCTTCGCTTGGAGGCGGTCCAGGACCAACGCAAGCGATTTGAAAAGTGGAAACAAAAGTTCTCGGCCACCGTCAGTCGGTTTATGAACAACCTCTTCATCCACTTGGGCAATGAAATAGGGGACATGCAGGTGACCAGCACCGAACTTACGCTGCCTAACCATTCCAACGTCCATCGGGAACTGACGCCTTATACCGAGCTTATGCACTGGACAAAGGCCATGGATCGGAAGACCTACGATGGCCTAATGCGTGTGTACACAGCATCGCTGAGCAAGATCTATGATAGGGATGTGAGGAACTTCTTCAATTTGGTAAGATATCAACATCGAATATCGAATATTGCAATCTCAACTCCTCTCGACCGCTGTATAGGCTAAAATTCAGGTGACGGAGAAGCTTCGAAATTCTCGGGAGGATCTGGACATGTCCACGTCTTCTAGAAAGTCCGCAGTTTCCACAATACCTTATGGTACACTGGGAATAAACAGGGATCAGTGGGGTCCTGGTGTAGAGACAGCAGATCGAATTCGTTTTGATGCACTGTTGGAAAAGGTTCTAGCTGAGCTGGAACCCATTGCCCTGCAGGAACAGCTCTTCTGCATTAACTTTTTTCAAATGGACGTTATCAGTCCAACGACGAAGAACACACAGACCACGTTGGAAATGGAGAAGGCGATGGACATGTCGCAGTCAATTATATCAGGAGCGGTGTCGCCATCATCCGATGGTGTTCCGCAGAAGCGGATAGACCGTCAGATTAACGAGGATGTGCGTAAACTAATGATGGGCCTTTTCGGTTGCCTTGAACCAGAGCTGGTTAGCTTCATCCAGAGCTTTGAGCGTGTGGACAGTTTGTAAGTAATCCATATAGTAATATGATCAAGGCATGTGTAGTTAACCAATTTGTTTTACGTAGCTATTCTCTGTACGTTTTTGTGCGACTTACGCAGCACGTCATGTCCGCCCAGGACACACATTCCTTTCTCAGCATGACCTTCGCTTCTGCCTTGGTGCAGGTGAAGAGGAGTTTCGACCGTTTTATGCAGAACCAATTACTGTCTATCCGGGAGGCAAAGCTGCACAAACGATCGAAGGCCATCCTGCCCTATGTGGAAAACTTCGAAAACTTTGCCCAAACTGCAGAGGGCATATTTCGGAAATCGGATCGCCGCACGGACATGGAAAAGTGGTACTTGCAGCTGGTAAATGCCATATTTGAGGGCATCCAACTGCATTCGCAGGAGCACCCCAAGACACCAGTTCAGGTAGTGCGCATGGAGAACTACCACCACATGTACGCTTTGCTGGCTCAGCTTAAGGTTCCTGGTCTGGATGCCCTGAAAAAGGAGGCCAAAAAGTGTTACAACGAGGCGCTAAAAGCGTATGTGACTCAGTACTTCGGCCGGCCGTTGGAGAAACTGAATGTAAGCCAAAGTCAATGACCTTCCAGAAGAAAAGATAAGTGTATCTCAATCTTAAAAATATCCCTTCTGCTTTTGCAGCAATTCTTTGAAGGCGTGCAACTTAAGGTTGCCCAGGGAGTCAAGGAAACGGAGATCAGCTACCAGATGGCCTTCTCCAAACAGGAACTCCGCAAGGTAATCGCTCAGTATCCTGCGCGAGAGGTGAAGAAAGGCCTGGAGAACCTATACAAAAAGGTTGAAAAGCACCTGAGCGAGGAAGAGAATCTATTGCAGGTGGTCTGGCACGCCATGCAAGAGGAGTTCATTGCCCAGTACAACTACCTTGAGGAGCGCATTCAAAAGTGCTACGCCGGCGCCATGATCAACCTGGAGTTCAACATTCAGGACATACTCGCCTTCTTCTCGGACATAGCGCGCTCCCACTGATCTAGGGATTGGAATCTGAAAGTCAGGGAGCGTTTAAACCGGGTTTTATTTTTAAGTGCAATAGTATTTAAAGCGCTGTTTCTGCTGATTGCAAAATATATGGCGCGTATATTTAAACAGATGTGGATTTGCAAAAGTTCAAAGCGTTGAAAGACAGGGATCACGTAAAGAAAAATCAACGAAAAGGAAGCCTTAAAGGGAACTTCAACAGCTAGCAATTGAAGTTGATTATTGTATAAGTTCTAAGGTAAAACAATATATAGTCGAGTTCCCCGACTATCAGATACCCGATACTCAGCTAGTGAAAGTGCATACGAGAAATTTCAAAATTTTCTGAAATATCGGTAAAAAGTGGAAAAAAATAATAAAATTAAAAAAATTTTAAAAAATGTTAAAAGGTGTGGGCGTGACAGTTTTTGTCGGATTGTGGGCGTGACAAAAAGTACAAGATTTATTCAAAAATGAAAAAATATCGGACACGGCCAGATCGACTCGGCTATTGATACTGATCAAGAATATATGTACTTTATATGGTCGGAAACGTTTCCTTCTGCTTGTTACATACTTTTCAACGAATTTAGTTATCCCTTTTACTCTACGTGTAACGGTTATAAGAAAAAAAAATTAATATAAAAAATTTTCTAAATTTGAATGCAGATTTTTAAAGAATTGCGGTAGAAATATTTAAAAATCCGATTAAGATAAGTTGAGGTATGCCTTGGGACATTTCTTAATATTTTTGAATTTCTATATCATAACATCAAAAAAATTAAAAAAAAAATAGATTTCTAAATTTAAATGCAAATTTTTAG